TTAGCCTACCAGATTTTAGACTCATGGGATTTTCTCCTACACATATACAGACTGGTTTTCAACTATATATCTTAGATCTTCTGTACTGATCTTTAAAGCTTTCTATCCATGTATCTCCCTCCTTCCTGATATTCTGCCTCCCAAATTTTAGCTATGTTGGCCTCTGCAAATTCTGATTTATAGTCCTCGATGCAATGAAATCTTTGGCTTGTCTTTGGGTTTCCCCTCCTTCTGCTGGGGTCTGAAACTGCCTTCAGGTAGTTAGCTCTGACTATTATAGTATTTACCCCGCAACAATTCTGTTTTTGTTTTATTTGTTCTTGTTATTAAATATCTAGGATCACAGTCATATTGATGCCTGTTGGGAATATCTTAAAAGGATAGTTTCAAATATATGTTTAATCTATTTTTTTTTAGGAATACTGCTAATAGAATTTAACAAAATGATCTACCAATGGCTTATCCAAATAAAGGAAACACCAGACAGATAAACTCTCTATGGTTGTTTCTCCCATTGCAAAGAAGAAAATCTCACCATAAGCATCTTATAAGGTTTTCTTGTTTGAAGCCAAGAAGTACCTGATAAGGAGACTTTCTTGTTATGTTTTATTAACAAATCTGGAACATGTACCCTTTGCTTGACTTCAGGTTAGATGGGGAGTGGCAGAAATTTACCTGTCTTGAGGTTGTAGAAATACATTAAATATGGGGTTTTTTGCAAAGAAAAAAATTTAAACATACCAGCCATAGTGTTTAATTATTAAACTACAAAGTTCAGAATTCTTACTCAAAGACTAATTAAGTGAGAATAAGAATTATTTTAACAATGTCTCTTCTTTTACATATTAAAATATCTATTTTACAATAAATAAATAAATAGTCATAGCTTTGTTTGAAAACGGAATCCTAAAATTCTTGTCAAATCCAATGGGATAAAGCTGATTGGAGTATACAATGAAAATACATATGATTAGTTACTACATATAGTGTATAAAAGATAACAGAAATTTTCTTTGACTTCTGGGCTAGTATAATACTTCTAGCTTGTTGATAAATGTACTAGAAAATCTGTGTCATCATTTAAGACCTGTCATTATTTGTGTCTTTTATGCAGTCATTTTAGATACAGTTCTCCACAAAAAGTAGCTTTCATGCAATAATATGAATGGCTATGTTTCGTTCTCTTTTAGTTTTCAACATGTCTTTAATTTACACATACTTAAAAAATAAAATTGTTACTATAACAGTGCACATGGGTCTACAACTATAAGTTAATGCACATACAAATTCCTGGAAAACTGTAGGAACAAAAATATATTATGAACAGAATGTGCTTACTACAAGCAAACAAAACTTGGCTCTCTCCTATTTAACTCAAATATAAAAATATACACAAAGATGAACTACATGCAACATATTTTGTTTAAATAACAAATAAATATATATATTTATTAGGCTACTCTTGCATTGTTATAAAGGAATTCTTCAGAGTAATTAATTTATAAAGAAAAGTGATTTAATTGGCTCATGGTTCTGCAGGCTGTACCAGAAGCATATTGCAGACATCTCTTTGTGGAGAGACTTAGGGAAACTTACTCATGGTAGGAGACAAAGCAGGAGAAAGCATATCACATAGCCAAAAGCAATGCAGGAACGAGAGAAAGAGAGCGGCAAGCAAGGTGCCCACATTTCTAAATGATCAAATCTCATGTCAACTGAGAGTGAGAATTCACTTATCACCAAGAGGTTGGTCCCAGCCATTGATGAGGGACCCACCCCCCAGTGCCCAAACACCTCCCAGGCCCAACTTCCAAACATTGGGGATTACAGTTCATCAGGACATTTGACAAGGACATACATTCAAACTGTATTAACATTTAACTTTATAGACACCACAGAAATAAATACAAAAATAATATTATTGGTGATTACCTTCTACTGTGGTGTTATGTGATATTTGCTTATTCAAGAACATATTTTATATTACCAGAATAGTAAATAAAATAATATATACCAAACAATAATTTTTGTGAATGAAACATGATTTAAATTAAGGTGTACAAGAAATATAAGATTCAACATGAAAGCAAAATCAGATAGGATTTATGACTAGCTTTTCTGTATATAAGAATAAATTGGTCTGTCCAAACTGAACAGAATATCTTACATATAAATGATATCAGTGTGAATAAGTAATGGTTTTCTAGATAATTTATGTTTTGTATTGCAAATAGCCTATATTTACAGTGATTATGCATAAAGAGAAATGAAACAGAACATGCACTGTTGGTAAATGTATGCAATTTATTAGTTTGGGCATGAATTCAATTTATTTGTCATATTGACTCACCAGAGTATGCTTGGTTTACGCAAAGACATTATTAGTCTAGAAGAAAAACAGAGTAGCTATGTTTGTCAGAATTTAAATTTAGAGTTAAAACCTTCTATTCTAATCATTTGAGACTAACACTGACATACACAATTTTTCTCACATCAAGTATTTCTCTCATCTTAAAAAAAAAAAAGAAATAAACTAAGATAAAATAAATTAATCAAAATTTATTTTGTGACACATGGTAGCAGACTGATTTGTATAACTTATATAAGGTATGCTAACCAAGAAATAATTACTTTCAAAATGTTGTAATTCTTTTCCTCTTTACTTCCTTGTAGTACATGTGGATCTATTCTCTTATATTTTTAAACAGTCATTTAAAAATGTAATTCCTTATAAGAAGGACCACATCAAGAGGTATTAGAAAAGAATTCAAATTCTATCCCTATTAAATTAGAAGAATATGTCGAAGGATTTTAAGTCTTTTTTTATACTCAATAGATTACAAATGAAGCAGATCATAAATCATTTAAATTATAATTATGAACATTATCTTTTAATTAATATTCTAGAAATTGGTTTATAAACAGTATTTGTTTAAAAACAATCTTTTAAAGTCTATCAATAGAGTGTGAGAGGATTGGAATATGGGGAATAATATATTCAATATGATTAAAAATAAGCTTTTAATTCAATTATGGATGTTAATTGTAGATAACAAACCTCCATGTGCTTTTCACATATTATCTGAGAATTCTGCTTCATATTTGGCTGAGTAGCTCCCATAAAAACAGACCTCCTAAAGATGACTGTAAATCTGGGAACAGGGGACCTATCTGAAGACATTAGAGGGTGGTGCGGGGAGCACCACCAGAAACCAGGAGAAAGTTAACTCTTATTACAGAAAAAGAGAATGGCACTGGGTAAATTTAAATTTCTCATATTTTGTTGTTTTTAGACTGAGAACAGGCCCAAGTCTGCAACATTAAGGACACTTAGAGCTCTAATGACCAACACACAGCTGTGCTGGTTTGAAGAATCAGGAAATCGAATTTAGAGCAACTACAGCTACAGAAAAGTAAAAGGGAGATTATAAAAAGGTGAAGTCCCATAAATGGAAAAGCCAGAGAGTGAAAATACCAAATTCTGCATCTAATCACTGCTCAGAAGTCTCACACAGCCCTGAACCATACATGAATGAAGCTGACATCAAGCAGTTCAGATAAAAGAACTGAATTAAAATTTGAAAGACCTACCTTCATTGGGGAGACAAGTTTTGTAGGCTGATTTCAGCCTGCTTAATAATCAAGGGAGACCAGTCTTAGAAAAAGAATAACAGAATCCAGATTTTCTACAACATAAAATTCACAGTGTGCAAGATACCGTACAAAGCTATTCAACATACAGAAAAAAAGAAAGAAAAAACAGGAAGCATGAGCTATTTGCATGACAAAACACACTCAACAGAGACCAACTTCTAGATAACCCAGATACTAGATTAAGCTGAGAAGGATTTTAAAGCAGCTGCTATAACTATGTTAAATATCATAAGGTAAAATATGCTGGTGATAAATAAAAATATAGAAAATCTCTGCAAAAACTTAAATATTAAAATTCTGAGACTGAAAAATATATCTGAAATTTTAGCTAAGTTATAAAACACATAAATCTTAGATCCATAAAAGTATTACGAATGATGTTTTATCTCAAAACTTTAAAGCTATTTAATATGATTCCTAGGCAAAGCTTATTAACGTGATGATCCTGTCTTAAAATTGCATTCTGAAAATAGTAATAAAGATGGCATAAAAAAATAAAGCAAATATTTACCCAATTCCCCTTTACCTTTTAAGACAATTAATGACAAACTCTGTTTCTGCTTACCAAATCAAGTTAAATTCATGTGACCAATAGCTTATTCAATTTATTTAACTTTCTTTGTTGCAGTAAAATTTTGACAAAAATTTAAAGGAAAAACCTCAGGAGATTTTTCCAATAAATGTTAGTCACTGATTGTCTGTATTACTGTTCTAGGCCATGGCTCTAGTCCTCATGTCTTCTTCGTAGGTCCCAGATGAAATTAAAGAATAACATTTTTTGGAGGGTGTAGGGGGTGTTTGGCTGTTTCTATTCTATGTCGTTTTTCTTTTTTTTAAATTATGCTTTAAGTTCTGGGGTACATGTGCAGATCATGCAGGATTGTTACATAGGTATACACGTGCCATGGTGGTTTGCTGTATCCATCCCCCCATCACTTACATTAGGTATTTCTCCTAATGTTATACCTCCCCAATCACCCTACCCACTGCTATCCCTCCCTGAGACTACCTAGCCCCCAACAGGCCATGGTGTGTGATGTTCCCCTCCCTGTGTCCATGTGTTCTCATTGTTCAACACCCACTTATGAGTGAGAACATGCACTATTTGGTTTTCTGTTTTTGTGTCAGTTTGCTGAGAATGATGGTTTCCACCTTCATCCATGTCCCTGCAAAGGGCATGAGCTCATCATTTTCTATGGCTGCATAGCATTCCATAGTGTTTATGTGCCACATTTTCTTTATCCAGTCTGTCACTGATAGGCATTTGGGTTGGTTCCAAGTCTTTGCTATTTTGTAAACAGTGCTGCAATGAACATATGTGTACCTATATCTTTATAATAGAATGATTTATAATCCTCTGGGTATATACCCAATAATGGGATGCTGGGTCAAATGGAATTTCTATTTCTAGATTCTTGAGGAATGGAGACACCATCTTCCGCAATGGTTGGAATAATTTACACTCCCACCAAGAGTGTAAAAGCCTTCCTATTTCTCCATATCCTCTCCAGCATCTATTATCTCCAGATTTTTTTAATGATTGTCATTCTAACTGGCATGAGATTGTATCTCAATGTGACATAAGCAATGACTTCATGGCTAAAACACCCAAAAGCAATGGCAACAAAAGTCAAAATAGACAAATGGGATCTAATTAAACTTAAGAGTTTCTGCACAGAAAAAGAAACAATCATTAGATTGAATCTGCCACCAATAGAATGTGAAAAAATTTTTGCAATCTACCCATCTGACAAAGGACTAATATGCAGAATCTACAAAGAACTTAAATAAATTTACAAGAAAAAAACAAACAACTCCTCAAAAAATGGGTGAAGGACGTGAAAAGACACTTTTCAAAAGATGACATTTATGTGACCAACAAACATATGAAAAAATGCTCATCATCACTGGTCATTAGAGAAATGCAAATATTTTTTGAAAGTAAAATAAAAAGTGAGAATGCATGATTGAGGTAGGATGTAGCAGACATTTGGATGGAAGGGGAAGGAGAAGAACTAGGTAAAAACTAATGGTAACAACGTGAAATATTAACAGAATAATCCCAAAGGAAAGCATACCACCAAATATATATCACAATATCATGTTATAAATGTCAGATGAATATCCATACACATTGGTAAACAGGAAATTCATAGTTATTCTATAATTCTCAATATTATGCAATAATTGATAGCACATTTAAATTGCTGATTGTCACACCTGCTTATTATAAACCTTAGGTTATTACAGTGATGAGGCTGACATTGAAAACCAAAGGATTGCAATACTGTGTTTATCTTTTGTGCCGAGTTTCATGAAAACTTGTGTCACAAAGCAAATGGAATCTTTTAAAATTTGGCTAAGCAAACAGACCTTTGCCTTCCATACATCTCCAGTGACCACCAAGCAATACATAGAGTTGTAATGGATAATGCATTACTTGCCTCCAGATCAGAAATAGGTAAACCTTGGCTTTCTCATAGAAGAAGAGTTTATTTTAACAACTGTTCTGGATCACAAGCTGATGAAAGACACTCCACATAAAAGTAAAGAACCATATTCTATGCAGTTCTTTGGGAAATTTTCTTCACATCTGCAACATCTAACACTAGGGATTTAAACAAGTTATTCTTAACATGTTTAACCAAAAGGATCTTTTCTCTACACTGATCCACTACAGAAATGATTGCCTATGTCATTTGCTTTATATATTATATATATTTCTTTGAATCTCTACATTTTCTTCCATAAAACTAAGATAAAAGCTACTCAAGAGAAAAAAAATACTTTTTATTTGTTATAGCCCCATGAGCTCTAAACAATAGTATTCTCTTCAAAGCTGATTATTGTGTATTTGTTTTGAGTGATTTTTTGATATATACTTGTTCTTTAATGCCTACATAATGTGGACCTACCTCAGTATGAATCTAGGTGGCTACTCACATTTACAGAACATACCAAGAGGTAATTGTGCATATTAAGTATAAATTTACATAAAAGTCTTAAAAATAACAAAAAGTAGTCCAAATCTGTTTGCATGAATCAAGCCATAACTTTTATAAAGATTATCATTATAAAATGTATATTTCTACTGAAACATATGACAAGTTACAGCTTAGATATTTTTAATGTTCACTTAAAAAATAATAAGCTTTCTCTCATCCATTAGCAGACTTAAACAATAAGATAAACAAAAATTAGGGATTATATGAAACTCTGTTGATATGGTCTTTCCTCCCTTTTGGCAAAGAACATTTAATCAAAAAGTGAGGTCTATTCTCGTATCCTTGACACTGATTGGGCTTGGGAGAAATTTGAATAATAAAGGAATAAATTTAAGAGTTACACTTTTTATATCAAAGGTCACGCAGCTTTAGTCTGGTTCTCTTAAGATCCTTGCCCCTGGAGAATACAGCTCCTATGCAAGAAGTTTGATTGCTTTGAGACAGAACTGCTAAAAATACCTTATACTGGCCCTCTTATCAGCATTACCAAGTGAATGTCTAAGCAGTAGCCAGCCTTAACTGTGAGCTATGTGAGGGAGGCATCTTGAACATTCCATCCAGAGAAAACTTCAGATGACTGCAGTCCTACCCAACATCTGAATGCAACTATGGAAAAGATACCAAGTAATCTGCAAACCTCCTGAGGTCCTGACCCATGCCCATGAAATTACGTCCTTAATGTTTTTTTTATGTCTTTACATTTCGGCATATTGTTTTATGCTGTAAATATATATATATATATATATCTCCAGAACTTTCCACCATGCTTGAATATAACCTTTGCTTTCACTTTGATTTTGTACCAGCTGTGCTCTCCAACTCACTTTTGAGGAAGCTGAGACACAAAAAGGTGAAGTTACTTCCCCAAAGTCTCACAGCTATGATAGTAAAAGGAACCGATAGGTAAGTCACATAAAATACTCAGCGCAATGCTTGACACATAATAGTTACGTGGTAAGTTTTAGGCCATTATCATAACTATCATTATTATTAAATTGGAAGCTTGAAGTTATAGTTATACATCAGGCTGCAATTTAGAGAGTGCTTTGCAGGGGAGAAAAAGTGGAAAACCTTGTACCTCCTTTGAATTACTGAAATAACCAGAGGATGTTCCCTTGCTATTTGCAGTACTTTGAAGAAATATTTGGAAAGGCCTTGCCTCTTTCTTGAAGTGATGAAATAATCAGATGAGCGTGATTCAGGTCATGTGCTCTTGTCTGGGCTTTGTCATTTACTTGGGGAAGTCCTGGGACTTCCCTGGCTCTCAGTTTCTTCATCTATAAAATGAGACAGCTAAGTTCCTAGACAACCTGACACCCTTTTTGGTTTAATATTTTCCAAGATTCTTTTATTTAATAGATTCAAATATGTTTTGAACGGAAAACACAGTGATCCACCTGTTGTGAGAGCCGAAAAAAATATAAGCTCTTTGGAGACCTAGGGAAGGTGTGGTCTGGAGAAGAAACATTATAATGGAAAGAGGTAAATTGGTGGAGAAACAATCTCCCAAAATACTTTAGCTTCTGCTACATCTCAGTGTTCTCACATCTCTTGGAGCCCAGTGCAAAACCAAAATTTCTTCAGAATGTGAAACAATGCTAGTTAATGAATTCCGTAGGTGAGAGTTTTAGTGAAACTGTGAGACTGCACAGATCACATACTCAGGAAATCAGGCATACGTTGAAAAGAGAAAAATAGTACGCTATCCAAACCTCTCACTTTACAAGTGGGAGACGTGAGCTCCAAAGAGAACGGGTTTACTAACGCTCACCTTGGTAGCAAGGCAGTAGGAAGACCTAGAATCCAGAAATACACGTGATTTTCATAACTGCAATTTATGTAATTTCCAAGCAGTTGATTGTCAAGTGGTGGCTTGGGGAAAAGATCATGAAAACTGTGAAACTCTCCTTCTAAAACTTCCCAAATAAAGATGGGATCTGGGGGTAAGTGGGAAGCAGTGTTTGCTCTGCAACATATCTTCTTAACAAATGCCTTATTCCTCTCATCTCCAAATGTATTTACACCCCATGACATATTTTTATTAAAGGGCTATCAGAATTTTTTCTTCTAAGGGCTGAGATACTCAATATTTTTGCCTTTGCAGGCCACAGGGTCTGAGTGGCCATTACTCTACTCTGGTGCTGTAGCATGAAAGCAGCAATGAACAATTTGTAAGTGAATGGTCGTAGCCACATTCCAATAAAACTATTTGCCAAAACAGACAACAGAGCAGCAAATTTAGCCCACAGGCAATAGTATGCCCATGTGGGATTTCTTTATGTGTATTTATTTTATAGCATATAAATATTCTTGGGCTAGATGTTTGTTAAACACCCATTGTTCGTATTGGGTAAGTTACTGGAAAAGAGAGCATGTATTTTCTGAATTGCTTTGGTAAAACCTCAATATGTTTTGAAAAGATACAAATTTTAATTGATTTTCTAAAAGTTACATAAAATAACGACCTGATATAATTTATAATCATCTTGCAGAGGTATCACCCAATTAGTGGATTTTACTGTTCATTCATCTACATGTACACACAATTTATTCAGCAGCTCCCATTAATGTGAAATAAAATGACAAATCCATTTCTCAATATACTTATGATCTGATGCATTTTTTCACATAGAAGAAACAGAGAAATAATACAACTCATTGTGTCTTGATGGAAGAAAGTGACCACCTGACATCAAGTGACTGATGGAGTAAGGCTTAGTAAAACAGCTGACACGTGAGTCTGAGTTCAATTATTGAACAGGAGTTCATCAAACAACTAAGGAGAAAAGCATTTTTCAAGCATGGTCGTCATCCTATATGAAGGTGCAATCAAGGAAACTTTGGTATTATAAATCATGTAATTCTCAAGACTGATTTGCTCAAACAGACTGTGACATTTTCCTTGGCCCTGCTGTTTCAATATCATTTTTCTTGTCACATCATGCCAAAATTTAGTCTCATCTTAGTTTCACATAAAATTCCCTTACTCACCAATTTTGGAATTAATTGAAAACTAGCCTGTCAAAAAGTTCTCTTTTAATTTTAATATTAATTTAATTCTGGAAATAACCTTGGCTTCAGTTTTCTTATGGGATAATAATCATTGTATTTTCATCAGGATTGGTAAATTATTTTCTGCATCTACTTTATCTGCTCAGGAAACATATATATACACAGCACTGAGTAGTTGGAACAGTTCTTTCTTCCGTATACTGGTAATCTTTGTTTTACTGTATTTTGTCTTATTTCTTAACTCATGTTTTATTTCATTTTCTTTTTTTCTTTTTTTCTATTTGGCGTCTCTGGCTACTGTGTTATAATTTATGTAAAATAAACTGTATTCATTTCAAGTCTAAAATTTGATGAGTCAACATGAAACTACTACAATCAGGGCACCAAACATTTCTATCATGCCAAAAGTTTCCTCCTGCCCCTTTGTAGTTCATCCCTCCTTCCAACCATGCTGGTCCCAGGCAACAAATAATCTGTATTTTGTCACTATCTCTCAA